GAGGCATGAGACTCATCAACCGCAATGGCACGAGGGGCAGGCGGTTCAGGCCTGGTCGGCGTGGACGATGATGCCGCATTCAAACCTGGCTGAGCCGGTGTCGGTGGCGGAATGGAGATGGAGCCAGGTTCAATAATGGTCCTGGAAGCTTTCTGCATTACAGGCATGATGGGGAAGTGGTCTGGTTGAAAGGTGTGTCCCATCATGATCGAGATCTGAAAGAGGACCCCACATTCATGCGCTTTGGTGTCGCGGCATTCACTGTCACAAAAGCTGCATCTGCCACGACCTCCTCCAATATTGGCCATGCCTTGAACATGATCACGAAAGTGGTCGGCAAGATGAACCAGGTCCGGATGGCATTCCGTGAAGTGCTTGCGAATCGATCGAGCAGCAATCCGCATGTGACAAAATGTGCAGTGATTGGCAATCTCATTGATCAATGCTGAGTTCAACAACAGACCTGGGACTGACTTGTGTCGCAAATGCATTTTGAGATCGGGTCGGTTGATGATCGGCACGATCGACTCCTGAGCAGGATCAAAACGAGGACACGTATGCTTATTTATATGGTCACGAAGTCTGTAAAAATCTACGAAGACGTATGAACAATGCGTGCATATCGAACGTCCTTGCCAGGCGTCTCGTAAAGGCAGAAAAACATCGTCAGGCTCGCAAGGGACCTGGTGTACCTGCCTCATGTGACGTTTCAGCGTTCCGGCCTGCTGGAAGGTTCGATGGCATTCAGGACAGGCCACTGCCTGAGTGCGTTCCATGGGGGAGGGATGATCCGGGGGATTGACCAATGGTTCAATCCAGAGATCTGGGACGAACACACACACATCCGGCATCTCGTTGTCCATGGCTTCAAGGCGGAGTTTGGCCCGTTTAGTCGACAGGGCTTCTTGGATCCGCCTTCGTTGGGTGAGGATGGTTGTCCATGGTGGTGGTTCACGAAGGCGTTCAAAGAAATGTGTCGTGGATTCATGAGTGAGACACACAGGTGAGTGGGCAATCGACCGGTGATGTGTGTTGATCATGCTGATGACTTGTCGGAATCCCTGCTGAGTCAATCCCATTTCATGAATGCCATATTGAACCGTGGCTAGAACACATTGCTTGTATAGCTTGAGTCTGGTTCGAATGGGGTGGACATCACTCTCAAGCCAGGACCTGAGATTGCGGAAGCACCATTTGGCGGCGGTGATCCTACGTGCTGTCGTGTCTGCATCCCATGCTCTATAACCTATGATGACTCCGAGGTACGCTGTTTTCGACACAAGCGGTAGCTGCCATCTTCGTTCAGGCAGCGTCAGGACAGGGCCAGTGGATGGTCGACTAACCCAGTTACGAAGAAAGGCAGGAGCCTCTTTCCCTTGGAGTCGAAGCATGGCAACCGACTTGTGAAGATTGACATTGAAGCCAAAGGCTTGAAGAGTCATTAACACATGTTGAAGGTCAGTGAGAGCTTCAAGGGCTTGGGCTGTTGATCGAATTATCCACCGGAGGTGGATGTCATCTGCGTAAACGACCATGTGCTCGTGAAGCCATTGATGGGAGTATTTGTTTTGGAGATCAACAAGTACAAGGCTCATGGTGAGGGTCCATAGCAAGGGGGCATCTTTGGCTCCCTGTTTGATTCCCCGATGTGCATGGATTTGGCCGATCAACTGCTTGAAGGGAATACAATACTTATGGGGGGTGAGCCATGTGTGCACAAGTTGAAAAAGGTCAGGATCCAAATGGTACAACTGCAAGGCTCGAAGCACCAGGGTGCGGCTGACTGTGTCAAAAGCCTTTTCCATATCTAGTGAGACTTGGAGTCCTCCAAGCAGCCTTGGCTGAGTTCCAGTCTTGATAGCCCTGCACATCATGCGTACATTTCTGCAATGTTCGGCCACGATGAGAAGACATTCACGTGTCCCTCTGTGAGGCAAATACGCATAGAGTGGAAGACGTCTTAGTCGGTCGAACGTCTGCAGAATGATCTGTCTGCATTGGATTCCTGCAAGAATCTTGTTGATCGGGTGTTGGAGACAGATTGGTCTGAGAGCTTGGGGTTTGCTTGGGGATTTATTCGGTTTAGTGAGGAGATGGATCCATCCTGTTGTCCAATGATCCGGAAGGTTTACGGGATATTGAAGCCAAACCTGCTTAATCTGATGCATTAAAGGATCAACAAGATCATGCGCAAAATGCTTCCAGATCAATGCTGACAATCCATTCGGTGCCAGGGCTTTGGTGCTTGGCAGGTGCAAAAGCTCAGTAAGCACATCCTGGCGGTCGAAGGGAAGTCGGGTGAGAGGTTCGAGATCCCGGGCGTCAAACTTCGGATCAGCAAACAGTTGTATATAGTATTGTTCGATGGATTCCAATTCCTGTCTCGGTGCAAGAGGCATGCCATGAGTATCAAAGAGCTGAATTCTTTTCGGTCTTTGTTTCGGACACAGGAGCCTGATCTTCCGGTACCAGTCAAAGATGCGTCCATGAAGGGCAAGATCAGCACCCTCAGTGAGAATCTGTTGCAGTTTGTCTCTCTTATTTTGCCTGCTCTATTTACGAATGGCTTTATGGATGGTTCGAAGGTGGTGATATGAGCCCAACACTCAAAGAGATCGCGAATGCTGCGACCACGAACGGCCAGAGCCTGCTTGCGGGCATTCCACATCCTGGCGGCCATGGAGGAAATCTGGGGTGCATGAGGGACCCTTGATTTTCTTTTAGGAAAGAAATGAGAACAAATAGTTCGAAGTTCTTGTTCCAAGTCGAGCATGGATACCTGATGCGATGGAGGAGGTGGAGAGTGTCGAGCGATGCTCTGACGAATCTGGACCTCAAACTGCTGCCAGTGTGCAGTGTGTTCGAGTCTAGCCGTACGGATGGCAAATCGGTCAATGTTGTTAAGAGGTAGCACTGGTTTCCGAGGCGCAAACCACCTGGGCAGGACAAAGAACAATGGATGATGATGAGGGCCATGACATCCAAAATTGCGCATAAAACTCCTATCCATGGTGGGCTGCATACGACGAAATTAAACCTGATGTTGTCGAACAAAAACATAATCAATGCGAGAATGATGGGAGCCATGTTCAAAGATCGATGCATACTGCTGTTTACAATGCAACGCAATCAGGTCCCGTGCTTTCACCAATTGCTGAAGTAGATCTCGATCGGTGTGAGTATTCAAGGACGCACGGGCATTATGGCTATTGATGTGTGGCGGATCGAATTTGAGGGTGGTATTAAAATCACCCATAAGGACCATCTGATGCTGCTGCGGAATATGATTCAAAGTCTGCTGCAAGCTGGTCCAAATCTTTACACGATTATCAAGAAGCTGTTCCTTGCCTTTGGTTACATTCCAAGCATGCTAATATACAACGATGAAATCGTATGTGCTGTCCAAAAAGAGGTGGATCTAAAGAAGTCGGCCATCAAAATGAGAGGCCGAGGCAATCTGTTCAGGTCTGGCCAGGGTACTCCGAATGAGAATAAATACAGCATGCTTCGTCGATGAGTGGATATAATGCCATCCCTAGGACGTCCAGGTGGAGTTAAAATTCCAATTAATTTCCTACAAGGCAATGATGTCTAGGGGTTGGGATGTATACCAGTGCAGGAGCTCGTCATGGACCAAGTTCTTCGAGGCATTCCAGGTCATGCACCGAATGCCAGGTGTTGTTTGTGGGGTCCGTGATTTCAGTTTGTTTTGTGTGTGCCGTCGATAGGCTTCTCGAATGCGCCAGGGCACATCGGTGTCAAAAAGAAAGCCTTTTCGATAAGGCGTGTAGCCATGTTGCAATGCTCGGAAGCATGCTCTCTTGAAGATCCTTTTAATCTGAACGATACGCGGCCGGGAGACGACAAGGCCGTAGCCTCCTCTAGCCCATACCTCAGAAGGCTTCGTGGAGAAGTTCTAGTTTCGAGTGAAGGAACCATCTCCACTCTCGTCCGGGATTGAGGACCCATAGTTCCGCTCGATATAAAAGGTGGTGCATTGGCATCCATGGGTCCTAAACTTGGGATCAGGGAAATCAACCTCTGTCCTAACAGAAAGATGTGCAGCCAAATGAAAACAATCATCAATGATGGGAATGCCAAAAAATCCAATGCATAAGGCAAAATAAATGGCGAGAAGATCTACAAAAAAATGGCTGTCGTAACTCGAGGCTAAAATGGCTCTTCTTGGTACACTTCTCGATTTGTGCGTGTCATCCTTGCGCAAGGACCATGCTAATCTTCTCTATATCGTTCCAATTTTATCGGTTAATCCCCGAAAGGAATCCTTCCAATAAAAAAATATATCAATCTAAAATAAATAAAAATAATAAAATTAAATTATAAATTATTAAATCCAAAAATCAAAAATATATTTATAAATTCAATGCAATATAATAGTATTCGTAATAATATATCGATATTTAAAACTATATATATTTCAATTTTAAATAATTATATCAAACCATAATGATTTCATAAATTAATAAATTTATTCCTAATTCAAAAATAAAATCTTCAATTTTAAATTATCGAATATATTAAATAATTATTCATCTATTTAGACAAAAATATATATTAGTATAATTCGAATAAATTGTATATAAATAGAAAAAACAATATATCAATATATCTAAATATATATAATATAATAATATATTTTAAATTTTCCTTTGTCTCCAATGATTCCAAAATTTGCAGTTATTGATATAGCCTCAAGCAATCTCAATATCTGTTGTATTTGTCCTCCAAGTTGACAAGCAATAATGGCCACATTACAACAAGTTACGTCGGGCTGAACTTTCACCTTAGGCATGGCCTCCGACAACTTCAATGCTTGCTGCCATTGCCTCATCTTATTGCAGGAATTGACAGCCGCACTGAAGCTTATGACATTCGGTCGAACTCTTGCTGTGGGCATGGCCTCCAACAATTTCAGTGATTGCCGCCATTGCCCGCAATTCTCGCAGGAACTGAGGGCCGCATTGTAGCTAATGACATCAGGCTGAACTTCCGCTGTGGGCATGGCCTCCAGCAACTTCAATGCTTGCTGCCATTGCTCGCCCTTCTCACAAGCACTGATGGCCGCATTGTAGCTTATGACATTGGGCTGAACATTCACCTTGGGCATGGCCTCAAGACACTTCAATGCTTGCTGCCACTGTGCGGCCTTCTCGCAGGCACTGATAGCCGCACTGTAGCTGATAACGTCGAGCTGAACTTTTGCCTTTGGCATAGCCTCCAGCAATTTCAATGCTTGCTGCCATTGCCCGGCCTTTTCGCAGGAGCTTATTGCCGCACTGTAACCGAAAACGTCGGGCTGAACTTTTGCGGTGGGCATGGCATCCAAAAAATACAATGCTTGCTGCCACTGCCCCGCCTTTTCACAGGAGCTTATCACAGCACTGTAGCTGATGGCGTCTGGCTGAACTTTCGCACGTGGCATGTCCTCAAACAACTTCAAGGCTTGTTGCCATTTCCCGCTCTTCTCACAGGCACTGATGGAGGCACTGTAAATGATGACATCAGGCTGGTCTTGTGTCTTGACCATTGAATCAAAAAGCTTCAATGCTTGTTGCCATTGCCCGCCCTTCTCACAGGAACTAATGGCTGCACTGTAGCTGATGATGTCAGGCTGAATTTTCGCCTTGGGCATGGCCTCAAACAACTGCAGTGCTGCTTGCCATCGCCCGGCTTTTTCGCAGGAACTGATCGTGGCACTATAGCTGACAATATTCGGCTGAGCTTTCGCCTTGGGCATGACCTGAAACAACTTCAATGCTTGTTCCCATTGCCCGCCCTTCTCGCAGGCACTGATGGTCGCATTACAAATGATGACGTCAGGCGGGACATGTTGCTTGCGCATGCCCCCAAACAATTCCAAAGCCTGCTGCCATTGCCCGCCCTTTTCACAGGCACTGATGACCGCACTGTAGCAAATGACGTCGGGCTGGACTTTTGCCTCAGGCATGGCCTTAAACAACTTCAATGCTCGCTGCCATTGCCCGCCCTTCTCACAGGAACTGATAGCCGCGCTGCAAATGATGACGTCGGGCTGAACTTCCGCCTTGGGCATCGCCTCAAACAACTTCAATGCTTGCTGCCACTCTCCACGCTTCTCGCAGGCACTGACCACCGCACTATAGCTTATGACGTTGGGCTCAACTTTTGCCTTGGGCATTGCCTCGAGCAACTTCAATGCTTTCTGCCATTGCCCGCCCTTCTCACAGGCACTGATGGCCACGCTGTAGCTGATCACGTCGGGCTGAATTTTCGCCGTTGGCATGGCCTCAAACAACTGCAGTGCCTGTTGCCACCTGCTCGCCCTCGCGCACGTTGAACTCCCGAAAGCGTAATTGGACTGATTGAGTTGCATGCCACCATCTTCTCTGATGGCCTCCAAGGCAGCATACACCAGATTGGCTTGCTTTTGCTCACGCAACATCGCCAGCACTTGCTGAAGCTTCTTGGTGGAGCGCCCGATGTCCTGGAGCAAAGTCGCTCCAAGATTTCCTGAAAACATCGGTGCCAGGAGGCTATAGGAGGTCAGGAGGTACCCTCTGACTCTCTAACATGGAAGTGGAGTTCACCACCTGTTTGTAGTGGAAAATGGTCTTCCCTGGGGCCAGAACGTCCATCTCCGTGCGATTTCCGTTCAAAACATCTCCGCTTCAATCTCGTCAGGAATTTCTGTGCCATTTCACATGTGTCATCTTTATAGCTGTGATGTGGTCACGACATGTCTCACGAGTATGTTCCCATTCACCTACTACATCCCCTGAAATCAAGATCAAAAACGGCACATTCACTGTAGCCCTAGGGTCTTGATTTACTGTAGGGGTTTGGTGAATCATCCGAGTCTACGTGTCATCCGCTCCCAGGTGTCCTTCAGCCACTGCTCGTCTCAGCTTCCCAAGCAAATCATCACCAAAGGCCCTGAGGAAGCGCTCGATGGACCAAGGATGGACCAACAAACACTCTGCAAGAAAGACATGAAACACTTATAGTGGGTTGAATGTAGATGGCACAATCCCTAAGTTGGGTGGTTTACATGGACCCCTATATTAAAAAAGAACACATGATGGGTTCCAGTGCAATCTACTCCCAATCCAACCCTCAGACTTCGTTTGTCATACCGACCTCTCTTCTCGAACTCGTGGCATACTCCTCCGCTGAATCTTCCACCAAACTTGCCCGGGGGCAGCGGCGGAAGGAAGCCGCAGCAGGAAGCCTCTTCCTTTCCTTGGAATGCAATATTTTCTGCGAACGGATGAAAAGCGTGCCCCTGGCCCCGTTCTAGCCCTTAGTTTAACATGAAGCTCGCGCGCTAAAGCTCCTTTTTACCTGGTTGGGCACTTGAGCCAAAATGGTATATGGCATGTACCTGTATAGCGACTATACTGAGACCTCATCCCTATTGACACCCCCCACATCCGTGCTTCGACAGGGAAGGGAGATGAGTGGATGTAAAAACCGGAGAACGAATCATGTTCTCAAAAGTGCATTGGAGGTCAACCAGTATGTCCTATTGATCTGAATTAGCAAACGATCTTGCATTCGCTTGAAAGTTGGATCAAACAGGTAACGGAGCTACAAACGGAAAACGTGCATCTACCTATGGTATCCTGCGATTACCGACGGTGTGAAACACAATCCTATTTCACTCCCATGATGCCAAAATGGTCATCATGAATTACCCAAGATCCCTCAGTACTTGAAGTACCGGAAGTAGTATGTCGGTATGACCCCGATGCTCAACCATTCGTGAGTTGTCGCGTGTAGTCAGCTCCGACAAAGCCAATGTAGTCCTTGATGAGCTCAACGTTCCTTGGGTTTCCCCTCCGGATCTGCTCCTCGAAGGACTTCAACTTCTGCGTTTGAGTATCGGATACCTCTATGCCGTAATAGCGGCATGCGACGAGGATCTCCTTTGTGACATTCTTCCGCTCCGACTTGATGGCGGGGCTAATGTCGATGAATTTGTATGGAGCGGCACCTTCATCGTCTGGTTTCTGGTAGTAACTATATCGGCTCGCTCCGAAAGTCTTCCTAATCAAGCGCCTGATGAAATTTGAGATGAATGCCAGTTTCTCGATGATCTCTTCCTGGGTCTCAGATCTTTGAGCCTTCGGATCACTCATGTTACGCCGAGTGCTTCCGACCTCTTTGAGGTACTTGTGGCTAAGCCCGCAGCGGATTGCAGTGATCATCATCGGATGAATAACGTGGGCATGGAACTCATAGATCTGCCACGCTTCTGTTGCATACGTGTCGTTGGTCCATTTGCTCATGCCTACGACTTCGGCTCTCTGAAGGCGTCTCGGAAACCCGGTATCCGGATCATTCGGTACTAATGGCCATCTATTGAATGGAGTATCATGCCGCTGTCCATCGTCGAACTTTCGCAGTACGTCTTCACGACTCTCAAAGCAATTGATGTCGAACGTTGCGTTGGCCAAGCTCTTGATCAACTTCATCAACCTCAGATCAAATTGCTGTGTGACTGCAAAGTTGTGGTCGATGGGGATCGCAGCTTCTTGCGGCAATTCGTCAATTGCGAAGGGGAAAGGCTGTGGAAGTTCATTCCCGTATCCATCTTGAGGGACCTCCCGATATTCGGGTTCGCCTTCGGCTTCGTCCGGTCGTTCCTTCAAGATGATAGGAACTTCCTCGTCTTCCTCACCTTCGGACTCTTCGACGTCAATGACTTCTTCGGCTGTTTTGCGTGCATTCTTGATGACTTCATCGATGTTTGCACCTGCAGAAGAAGTTGCTTCACCGGAAGAACTGGCTGGTACGTCTCTCGGAGGTGATCGTTGATTGCGGTCCCTTGTCTCCTTGGGTACCACATGCGTGAGCTTCCCATTCGCTATCAAAACCGCTACGCAGTGCGGACATATCGTCAATCGCACATCGACTTCGCCAAGACAGTTAGGGCACGGTCTTGAGTCATAGTCTTTCATTGCTCGGCGGTACACGATCTCCTCAAAGATTTCCTGCCATTCGGTGCTATCGTACTCTGGGTAGTCACCGCTCTCCTCGACCATGCTCAGCAGCTTTTTGATTTTGGCGTCGTCCTCGGAGTAAGTATCATCCTGGACTTCAATCGCCAAACTCTCAAGCTTTTGGTAGCGTGGAGTCATGATCGGGTTTCCGTATTTGGACTCCAGAACAAGGTAGCTTCCAGGGTCGGGTTCTCTATTGAGTAACCTGATCCATTCGATTTCCTCAGGCTGTCCGGGTTCTGCATTGTCGCATTGCAACCATGCCCCCTTAACCTCATCGAAGGGAACAACGTCCTCAACCAATAGAGATCCAGTCGCTGAGATGAGAAGCCCGTACTCCTGCAGCTTCGACACCGGAATGTAGAGAACCACTGGGCGATCACTCAACGCGACCTTACGACCCAGCCAAGGTTTTCCCTTGTAGCCCTGCTCCCAGGCCCATAGCGGAAAACATGTGAAGTGGATAGAATCCCTTCCCGATGTACCGAGACCTCCTGGCACTAGCCCCCGTCGCATGATTGAAGTCAGCGCTCCAAGATTGGTAGCGTGAAATGCAGTCACCATGGATAGGGCCATGTCGTTGGTCATTCTCGATCCAATGTGGTCGATGTTGATGGTAACGTCATAACCTCCACCGTCCGACGAGTGTGCTGAGGTTGCTCTTACAGCCACGGGAAAGCACCAGCCATCGCTATTGTGGAGTCTTCCTTTGGAGATTCCCATGCCCTTGAGCTCGTCAATCCATTCCTTCTCCATCGGGTCATCAGGGTCATTGAGTTCATCAGGGTGAACTCGGACCGCCAACATTTGGAATCTGATCCTCTTGGTTATGCGGAAACACTCATAGTTCTGGTCGAGGTACTTCTCCAAACGCGCCTTCTTGGTCACGATGTCAATATTGCCATAGTGATAACCGTCTTCCCAAACTGCGTTATCAGCTAACAGGTCTTCCCATGACACCCATGCGCCTTCATCGCATTTGATTGGTGTGAGTCTTCCTCCTGTCCTGAACTGGCGTCCAATTCGATGCCTCAACTTCGCTCCCAATCGGCGACTCAGGGCCTGACTCGCTTGGCTGTATTCAGGTACTCGACAGTCTCGAGTCGGATACTTGAGGTTGCCGTAGTCGGAGTTCTGGGCAGCGAAAGTGACTCCGTTGATCGGTACTAGCTCAACTTTCCCGATCATCGTCATGGGGTCGATCGGCTTGTATCCTTTCTCCCTCCGTGTTGGTAGGGGATAGAATTGATGACATGCCTTTGGTTTGAGGGAACTGGAGTGCACAAATGCCCTCTCAACAAATTCGTACACCACCCTCATATCCCTAGGGCCTACTTCCGCAAGCTTCCGCCCATTGTAGGAATGTGTCCCTCCTTCGACTCCATCGGCACTTTCAATCAAGGTGAACCCGTCATGGTCAAACATTGTCACGACTCTTGCTTTCAACATTTCTTTTCGCCTGAACTCGCTATCGACCTTCCTATCTGGAGTAGGCGATGCTCTCTGCTTCTTCTTCTTAGGCTCATCGGTTGGATGTCCGGATGGTACATCGTCGGGTGCAACCTCTCCCTTCACTCTCTTCTTCCAATCACTCAACACTGAGGTGACCGTGGGTGAAGACGAAGGGATCTTCTCGCAATTGAGAGTTGTGTGTCCCGACTTCATGCAGTGGATGCAGAATTCTGCTTGCCCGATCTTCTTCTCGAACTCGTCGATGGCTTGCAGTATTGATGTCTTCGGGTCGGACATGTCAACGTCTTGCTCCTCTTTCTCCTGCTCACATTCAGTCTCCATATCGACACCTTCGGCCTCGGGCTGGCCAGTAGCTTCTGCTCCATGTTCTGGCTCTTTCCCGATCTCGAAGAAGTGGTCGATGTCGAATTCAGGAGGCGGCATGGTCCTCATGCGAACGAGAATCAGTGCCACGTTTGCCGCCTCTTCAGAGTGCGGGTCCAATGTTCTGATCATCGATCGCTTTCGGTTCTCATACGTTGTCCTGTCATACAGCGATGCAGTGACGCGCTTGATGGATTCTTCTAATCCCGTCCTCAAAGCCTCAATGTCACCCCATCCCAAGAACAGGTGTTTGAAGAGTTGAGCAACTTCCAACATGCCCAGCAGCGCCTCCACCATATCACCTACCCGTTCCTCCGTGGGATCATCTCCGAACATCGTGCGGAATACATCGGGCTCCAGTATGGTCTTGAGGTATTTGGTGTAGCACACGTTTCCAAGGTCATAGGATCCCTGGTAGTACTTGGCGCTGCCGACTATCTGCTTTTCCACATGAATGCTGGGTCCTCTCCTCGTTTTGAAGAAGTTCTCCGTCATTGTTGATGACAACCTGATCCCCCCGAAGAACGAGAGCTCCTTCTGGAAACCGGGGTTCCCGTTAAAGATGATCATCGCTTCGTGTAAGAACTTCATCAAGTCTACGTGCGGGTTCATCTCGGAGATCATGACAGTGGGAGAAGATACCGTTTGCCCCATGCCGAAGTTGTAAGGCAATCGAGCACATGCATGGAATCGCTTCTGGACGTAGTCTTCTGCGGACATCCCGCGGCATCTATTTGCTGCTCCGTTGATGCATTCTGCATAGCAATCATCTTTCTGATCGGAGTTTGCGGGACTGCAGACCAAACAGTAATCGCAGCAAATCTCCTCACCCTCCTTGAAGTCATCAATGACGTACCACCTTTGAGTCCTCGAGTATATTGGTTCTGGCTGAAGGACTCCCCAGTACTCATCCATCCATGGCATTTTGTTTTCTCTCCTTACCTTCTCCCTCTTCTTCCGCTCAGCCTCATTCTCACCTGAAGGTTCCGCAGTGGACTGATATGCATGGCTTCCTCTTACGGAGTCTCCGAACAAGTACTGATACAACCTCTCCTTGTCCTGCAACACGTGTTCCAAGTTGGGATCATGGAGGCTATTCGCTTCAGTCAAGGGATCCGGTGCCATAAAACAAGAAGCGAGCATCTTCTCTCTGAACAAGTACTTTTCCATGACAGCGTGGACCAAAGAGGTTCCAGACTTCATAGAGTAGGGGTGACCTCCTCCGGCGACCGAAATGGCTCGCCAGAATCTGTCCGACGTCGTGGACATCATGCCATTCAGCGACAGCTCGTCCTTGATCATGTTGGCTATTTTGCCGAACGAACCGACGGCATGGTGAAACTCCACGTCTGCGCAGATCCTCACGAATGTAGGTAGTTGGCAGCATGCGTCAAGCTTGAT